TTTGTATATGTATGAAAGCTGCGCAGCATTATAGAGTGTTAAGAACAGATCCATTATTATGAAAAATGAATGTTCAATCTTTACTGATCTATCTGCATGAATTTATGAGTTTTTCTATCAAAAACCATTCATAATGTTGCAAATCATAACTAACTAGTACGTTACCCGCGCGTTGCGCGGCCTAATATTAAAAATGGTGTGAATGAATGAAAATTAAATAGAAAAATATTTTTTAAAAAATTTATTGAGATAATGTAGAATAATTTTTTTGTTAATTTATTTTAAAATACTTTCACAAATACAACATCTATAATAGGTGATCTGTGTTTGTTATCACCAATAGTAATAACAATAATTAGGCAACATGGATCGTGACTCTAGAAACAATACAATTAACAAAAAAAAAAATTATAAAATCCAATATAATTCATTTTAAAAATATTTAAAATTAAATTTTTGAGCTTACAAAAATATGTGATATACCATGAAAAAAAAAAAATTATTGGTCACATTAATGACACTTCTTCAAAAAATTTCATAAAAATGTATATGTGATAACATAATTTTCATGGTTCAAAAAAAAATAAAGTCATGATTACTATTGTACAAATAAACTAATATTGAATATTAATGTTAACATGTACGAAGATGAAAAAATTCAAATATATAATACAAATAAAATATCTAATAAAAAATAAAATAACTTCTATTTGCATGTATTTAATTTTAAGTTAAGTCTACATATTTTTTTTTGTACTTTTTATTAACAAAATAAATCTCAACATTCCGTTTTTTCACAAAATAAGTGCGATGGTGATTATAGAATGACGTGAAAGATTGATTATTTTTCATAAAGTCATAAATAGACTCATTAACTCAATATTAAAATATTTATTTTTTCATGAATGAGAATTGTAATTCAATGTAATATTAAAATACTTATTTGTGCATAAGACCAATGAAAATTAACACTTTGAAAAATTTTGTAATGTAATGCATAAAAAAAATTGAATTTATATTATATAAAATCTAAAAGAAATAAAATAAAATTAACATTATGATACATGATAAAGAAAAAGTAGTTGATACATTATAATAAGTTTGTGGTTAACTTTATCTACTGCAACGTTCAATTGTGATAATATGATCTCATCATTCTCTTATGGAAAAAAAAAAAAAAACATTTTTGATATGGACAAAAATTAAATGATAATTGCCCATTATGCTATTTTTATTTATAAAAATTTTGCTGTAAAATTGTGTATTTTTTAAAATACTTATTATTATTATTGTTGTTGTTATTATTATTATTATTATTATTATTATTATTATTATTGCATGAAATTAATGAGAACTGTAATATATTAAAGTACTTATTTTTCCAAAAAATTGGTGAAAATGATAATTCAGTGTAATTTTTAGAAATAAAAATTGACAAACTTTTTTGTAAAGTAATACGGAAAAAAATAAATAAATTATATTATATAAAATATATTAAAAACAGATTATTGTGAAATTAACGTTTTGATATATGATAAGGAAAAAGTAGTGGATTCATTATAATAAGTTGTGTTTAATTTTATCACTACAACATTCAGTTGCGATAATATACTCTCATCATTCTCTCATTAAAAAAAAAGATTTGTTTATAAACAAAATTTAAACAATAACTGACACATTATGCTACTTTTATTATAAAAATTTTAGTTGTATAATTCTGTATTTATTATAAAATTTAAGCGTTGTCACTTTTTACCAACTTTTATATAACCTCAAATTTAAGACAAATGAAATAAATAAAACAAATGGTTATCAGATATATTCAATCAATATGACCATACCAACTTTTATATAACCTCAAATTTAAGATCAAATGAAATAAATAAAATAAATGGTGATATATTCAATCAATATGATCATTTTGTCTTGTGAGTCAAAACTATATAAATACTTATTTTAACTCTCTTATTGTTGTTGAGACCCCTCACTCTGTATGTTACCATTTTTTATTTTTATTTTTTACTCAAGTAAAGGTTATTCAACATTTTTTAGATCTATTTCATATGGATATGATATTTTTTCTTGAAAAATACATTTCTTTTAGTCAGAGAAATTATGTTATATATGATAAATATAACATCATTATTTTTTTTTTCACTCTATTTGTATTTTATTTATTATTTAAGAAATTATATTATAAAATAAAATAAACAAAGTATGAAATTTGGAGGTCTAAATTAACATTTTGTTAAAAAAGAATGACACGTTGACTTGACTAACTCTTACTTCAACTCACATCAGAGTTTGTGAATTATGAGATATTTTACATTTTAAATTAAAAGATCTTGTTTTGGAATGAGGTACACAATACAAATAAATTAATGATCACTTGTAATTTTTTAGAATTATATAAAGATATAAAATAATACAATATTAAATTAATAAGAGATGGTTACATATTTTCTTAATGTGTATGTAAATTCCATCAATATAGAGTATATGTTTCAAATGTACTATTACATATTTTTATGAAATATATGAACATGTATATGTTAAAATAAACAATGAAGAATTTAAACTGACATATCAAATCTAATAATTTATCTATATATATGCATATAGATGTCAAATTAAAAACTATAAAAATATTTGTTTCTTATGTTACATATAGATATTATATTAGTTATGATTTTTTCTATTTTACCTTTGAAATATACCCAATATAACCGAAAACATAATATTGTGTTTGATGTTTCAATAAAAATAATAATTAAATAAAATTTTTTATTTGAAATTTTATTTTAGTGAGGAATTAAATTAGATTGAATATTTATTATTATAAAAAAATATATTATAAAAGGAAAGAAACTCATACTCACAAACGGGAAGAGAGACAAATAATAAGTGAGATATCGGGATGAGAATTCATAATATAATTATGTATAATATTAAACATTATTTGTAACAAATAATTGATTACGAAAAAAGTACATAATTAGGATTTGTATAATAATTAATTATGACTAAAATAAGTATTTATTTGTAACGCATATTTATGATATTGTTTGAATGGTAAATAATACGTAAAAATTAACAAAATTTATTTCATGGTAATAGATATAGTTAAAGCATTTATTTAGTCAAGAAAAATTGGAGTGCAAATTCCAATGCAATTATGATATAAATTAATTGTTTAAATGACATAAATATTTTTTGTTGATAAATCATGCATAGAAATAGATAAAATTTATTACAATGTATTAAATGTAGTTTTGGAGGGAAATTTTGAGTTGCTTTGCTTTAATATATATATAGATTCGAACCAGGCAATCAGAGACAGACATAGATATAGGTTAGACTATATTTCAATTTTTACCAATAAAATAATTGAGTATATCATGCCTGAAATCTTCAGTTGTTAAACGAAAACTCAGCCAATATGATTAATGTGTTTAGGAATTAATTTATTTTCTTGCTCTTGAATATACGTTGCAAAATAATCTGACTATTCTTTCTTGCGATACGGCATGAGATTGATTCTTCTGAATTGACTCCGGTAAAACGAACTACGACAAAAAGCTTCTTCAACGTTTTTGTCAAATATCCACTCCACAATTGGCTAAATTTGATTTCTATTTCTGGATTTGCTAAGATGATATACGCTAGCGCAATGCTGCACACAAATATCCACTCCACATTTGGCTAAATTTGATTTCTATTAACGGATCAATTAGTTGTTAGCTGTTAGCGGATTGTAATGGTTGTTTTGACCAGCGGATTGTGTCAGTTGTTTTGACCAACGGATTATATTAGCGGTTTGTGAAATAGTATTTGGTAAAATTAGATGTTTATAATTAGCAATTAGTTTGTAAAATTGATTAAAAGGATATTCATATGTTTTATCAGTTTACTTGTGTTAAAATTACTTAGAATATTAGTAATAATAACTATATTTTCAATATTATGTAAAGTAATTCAAATAATATATTAAATGTTTGTAAAAAAGTGTTTGATAATCATGCAATTTAATATCATATGTTAATGTGTACAAATTTTCATTAGGATATGTATATATTCTAATACTTTTTGTGTTACATTAGTATTTATTTTGAAAATATGAATAATTTTTATTTTAATATCTACTAAAGAAATAGCATAGCATATTATAAGTGGGCACCAAATAAAAGACATGGATATTTGTAAGATGCTTGTAATTTTTTGGGCATGTGTATGACCAATAACTCTTCTTGATAATTAATTAGACAACAATTTTGGACAGTAACTTGAATTATTTTTCTGAAAAGCTATATTGAGACGTTGCATGTTGCAAGATTTTTGAAATTAGCTTTTTCATCCAAAAAGCTCATGAAATAGCTATTTTACCAAACGTCATATTTAGTTGTTAGATATGATCAAACCGCTAAAGTACATCCAAAAAGCTAAAAGCCGAAGAAAAAGCTATTTACCAAACATATAGTCCGATACGCTATCATTTTATCTAGTTTTGTTATCTCATCAATTTTCTTTTTTCGCTTTTTTTTTTTTTTTTTTTTTAGTTTTTTTTTTTTTTTTTGTTTTTTTTTTTTTTTTTTTTTTTTTTTTTTTTTTTTTTTTTTGTTAAGTCTTTCTTGGCTGGTTCGTTCATTCCTTTATTTAATTTTTGTTGCTTTTTGTTAATTTTCATTTATTGTGAAGTTAGTATTACTTTATTAAGTATATTAGTAAGTGCCAATATTCTTGTTTAAGGAAAACAGTAATAGAGAACAAATGTGAAAACATAAAATTCTTCTCTTTTAATAATAGAGAAACTATAGGAATATAAAGATCATTCCATTGTTTTTTTTTTAAA